GTCTATTGATTGTTTCCAGCCAGGTTCCTGGCAGCTTATTTTTGTAACACATTGTGTCAAATTATATAATGTTTTTATTCTTCATGTAGCTACACATTTCTGTAGGTCTGTTTTTCTGCCTGTGTGATGCGTTTCAGAAAGGTACAGCAACACTTTTGACATATTTTACTTATGCATAATGTTGTAAATACATGAACCGCAAAGATAAAACTATTTTTTATTCATTTTTTCAAATGATTTTACAGAGAATATTGTGAAATAAAATCCACTGTTTACAGTTTAACTCATGTTTGTACTTGTGTTTATATTAACATTTATGTTGTGTGAACCCGGCTTTAATAGTGGATCTGCAGTGTTTTGACCATATGCAGTAGATTACCGGTTTGGGTTCTAGTTGAGAATTGTAAACCTGTGTTACTGTTGTTAACAAAATAAACATCACAAGACAATAATACATAGATTTAGTATTTAGTCTCTAGTCTGTCTAGACCATGTTTGTAACATCACATACAGCATATCGTTTTTAAGGCTGAACATTACAAAGATATGTGGCCTACTACAAATGATGGCTATGGTTTCCCTTCCATATCTTAAGGCTAGACTTAACAACATTGCCTCTGGGGAAAGAAATTATTTGGGCATTATTAAAAGGGATTTTTCCATGTGTGAAGTGGAAGATAAAAACTAAAACGTGTGTAAATGTGTATTACTCTCCTGGTATAGTCTAAAATGTATTGTACTCTTTTTGTGAGTAGCAGAAGTTATTCAAGTGTAAATAGAATACCCAAAGGGCTTTATGACCATACCAGCATATGCAGATAGTGTTTTTAAAGTATGACAATACTTCACAGTGTATCTGGAACATTTCTTATGAGCTTTGGAAAAAATAATTATGTATGTAATATGCTGTTTAAAGTTACCAGATTGAGAATGGACTTGATTTGCAGACTACGTCACTGTTACAAACCGATAATAAATTAGTGAGTAAACAAATACTGTAGACAAAATTGAGTCCGGGCCTAAACGAGGGACTTTGGGGACTTTTGAGATCTTTCCCTCGGCCTTGTAAATCCTGTATGTATGCGCCTGATTGTTTAAGAAAAAAGACATTTTGCACAGCTGCTGTGGGGGAGGCGAGCAGAAGACTCGGTCACACCTCCACACTCCAAAGAGCGGATGCTCTTCTCTTCTCTTGTACCTTCGCACTTCCCTCCTCTACGCACCAACCTCGTCAGTTTGAGGCAGGTGTCGAAATATCTCCGCTTTAACCTAATTGGAATAACCTACTGCAGCAATGCCGTTTATTGGTATCCTCTCGTAGGCTATCCCGCTAATTGTACCATTAATAAGAATTATTTTCCGGAGTTGAAAGGCCTTTTTTTATCGTGGTGTTGAAAAGTGGCAGCCAGCATCCGCCCGTTAAAGATCGAGAACACTGACAAGAATGGTAATTTCTTTTTTCTTTGTACACGGTTTTCTTTGTGTAACTACAACATGGTGTCGTTGAAGTCTCAGTGGTTACTATTCTGTTCTGTTTGTAAATTTAGTAACAAGCTGTGCCATAATGTGAGCAAAAACATTCAAACTTTTAAATTAACAGTCGACATCCGGATTGTTGCTCTCTCATTAGAACAAAAAGAAAAATAAAAATAACATTTTATCATAAGCTACAAAATAGGCATGTGGTGGAGTTTAATCAGATGAATTTAATCCTTGTTTTTCTTATATTATTTATTAATTTGTGGTCTTATAGTAGATTGAGAGTATAAAACCAATGTTTCTTTTAGTGAGATCATTTATAAAGTCGAATAGTAGAAAACCCACTGATTAAAGTGTCCCATCTACGTTGTGGAGGTCTTTCCATCTAGATGACTGTGTGTGTGTTTGTGTCATGGCTGGTGGTTTTGAGGTTATGACTTCTTACTTCTCTACTTTAACACACTAATAACTGTCAATATAATGCACCAGATCATAAGAAACCAGGAGATTATGTTTAATCCCAGCAACAAGAACCTTCATGATGTATTTTTATCACCATGTCAAAAAATAACACACAGCCATCCTCATCCTTTGGCACATGTTTGTTCATGGTGTTTACAGCAGAATCAGGACTGTTTTGTACATAAGGCAGATATATTAGAGTTATGGGAGACAGACAGGACAGGCTAATAATACATTGCACAAGTAGGCAATACGTTTTAAAGAGCACCTGTTACAGTCTTCAGGGTCAAGCTGTGAATTCTGGGTCACACCCAAACATACAAATCTTTACTTCTGTATATAATCAGTACTTTGTCATAGATTTAATAACTTATACTTTTCTCTTTAAATATAAATTTCTGCTGCCACACAATGAAAAGTTGATGCCATACAGTAGCCTACTCTAGTGGTTGACTTGTCAGACTACTTCTATAATGTTTAAGCAGATATTTATCAAAACGCATTGTATTAAGAGCCATGCTGCTGTTATCTTCCACGGTACCGGCTATTTAGAGAAATGTATAAATAACCATTTCAGTTTGTAATTCCTGTCCTGATTGGTTGCCGAGCCAAATCAGTTTGTAACGAATATGTCCACTGTTCATCTCTCTTCCTCAGTAAATTTCCCTCTTCAGTGCTGAGAGGTTAGATCTGTCGGGACAGTATGTTGGCCTTCAAGATCATCAGAGAGAAGGAGTAGAACCCAACCATCGTGCTACATTGACTGAGCGGAAGTGCAGCAAGCTGAAAGGGCCTAAAGAGCTGTGAGGTTATGTGAAATAAATCTCACTGCAGGAGAACTGCTGAGTGTGCTGTATACGAGCGCTACTTAAGGACACCGTATATTTAACCCTACACAGAGACAAAGCTGAGTGACCATTGAAATCTCCAGGAACGGAATTACCCTAGTAAAGAGCTATAAATTGCCTGCTATGAAAACTACCACATGTACGTGGAAGTACAGCACACACAGAGTGATTGCCTTTGACTACCCTGTACCGTTCCAGGTTGACAAGTCATAGAAAAGCTGTCCCTAAGACTCTTTCCAAAGAATCACAAACATACAGAGGAGTGCGATTACCAAAGGCAACCATGAATGGCCTGCAAGAGATGTCGGTGAAGTGTGTCCTGGTAGGGGACACTGCAGTCGGCAAGACGTCACTGCTGGTCCGCTTCACCTCAGAGACTTTCCCAGAAACCTACAAGCCTACAGTGTTTGACAACACTGGGGTGGAGGTGTACATGGATGGGGTTCAGATCAACCTGGGGTTGTGGGACACAGCGGGGAATGACAACTTTAGGCAAATCCGGCCGAGATCGTACCAGCAAGCCGACATCGTCCTCATTTGCTACTCTGTAGCCAACCCTAACTCGCTGGCCAACATCCAGCACAAGTGGATTGCCGAGGTTCGACAGAATTTGCCCAGGGTGCCAGTGCTGGTTGTGGCCACCCAGACAGACCTCCGGGAAGTGGGGACATATCGGAGCAACTGCATCGCAGCAGTGGAGGGGAAACGTGTTGCTCATGAAATCCGCGCTAAAGGCTATCTGGAATGCTCTTCCTTAAACAACCGTGGCGTGCAGCAAGTGTTTGAGTATGCAGTTCGGACGGCCGTTAACCAGGCCAGGAAGCAAGCCAGGAGACACATGTTCAGCATAAACCAGTGCAAGGTCTTCTGACCAGTGACCTTAGCTTGGTGGGCGCTTGAATTGTCATGAGACAACTTGTTCGTTAATGCGTGTTCTTGTGCTGTTCAAACTCAGAGAAGGCCAAAGTTGGATTTCTTTTACATATACATAGGGTTCTCTTTCTCTTTCACTAACTGGGTGTCCTGCCCCCTCAAGACGTCTGTAAACTTAAACTATATTAAAAAGAGAGAATAGAGGGATTTAATACTGAATAGACCCACATGCAAATGCTCACCTTTGTTTAACTGAGGGACAGATGTAAAGAAGAGTTTCTTTGATTCTTCTGATCTGTTATTTTAAAAGATGAACCACATTACAGCCTACATTACAGGAAGGTATTTCAAGTGAAATTTGGGGCGCATCAGCAAATGAGCTTTTAAATTGCAGCATAAACCATGTACGTGCCTTCACTAGCACAAATTAAATGACACAACCAGGTAATTCTTGACAGTTGTGTGGAGCTTTTACAGTGAGATTTATACATTTGGCAGAATGAGTTGAGGTAAATTTTAGACTTGTGTTCTAAAAAAATAGTGGTGTGTATGTTTGTATTGACAACAAGTAACAATTATACCTGTAGATTTAATTTTATATTTACATTACATAAGGGGACATTGCAGTTGTTTTAAATTGAACTGCAAAGAAATAGAAAACAAGAAAATATTAAGACATGATCTGCTACGTCTGTATCTCACAAAACGTCCCGTTGTTACTGGAACAACAATTTTTATTTTATAATTTAAAACTAAGGATTTGACACATTGGCACAGTATTAATTTATTTATATTAGTGAGGTTTTACTCTTAGTGAACGAGTGCGGTAAATATCTAAAACTGAGAAACTCACCTAATAATCTACAAGTGTTTGTTTTTCCCAGTGGTGGCTGTGCAGTCATCCCTTGGTAATCATTCCTGTTTTTGAACATTTTGAATTTAATTGTGCATTCATAATGAACACTTGTCTGGACCCAAATAAACAGTATACGATCATATACGCTGTAAAAGGTATAATTTATACAGTTGGCAATATAGCCTACTTTGTATCATTTTATATTTTTATGGCCACTTTCAAACGGATTTTATTGTGTTTTACTGTATGTACATAAAGTATAAAACGGAGTTTATGACAGACGTAATATTGAGAATACAGCATGGGGTATTACGCTACCATTTTCAAATCATATAGTATGAACATCTGTATTAGAATATGCATTATATGTTCATATACAAATAATTTAAACTGTTCATTTGACAGTGTTGGATTCTAACAGACTTTTTGGAGATGCGTGTAACTTGTGCTGTTGCATCAGTGACTATTATTACCGGCTATTTCTTGAATGATGTTATGTTAAAAAAATTGCATGCAAAAATATCAAACAAGGCTGCCTGTAATTCAGTATTCAGATGTCTAATTCTGCAAGATGACTGACAAAATGTGAACCATAAAAATAATGGATGTTACGTAATAAATAGAATTATTTCAGTGAACAAGAGACGGCGTGGTGAGAACAATGCATGGCTAGCTCACAAACACATACACACATTAGATAAGCGATATACAGTAATGTGATATTGCACAGATCACAGATAGGACTGAACTATGGCGTCTGCTCCAGTCAAGTTGGTCTTAATTATTTAGCCCAAAATCACAAATTTCCTTTAGAGGGTATACTTCTACAACTTATGACACTGTCTAACCATTGAGCCTCAATCTAGATTAGAAACAACTGCTTATACTCAACAGTCTTATGGTCTCAAACACACAATGTTTAGTTTGTGTGTTAATACCTACAATATATATTGTATGTCCAGATATGCGATGTGTGAGACTGTGTGTATGAGGGGGTTTGAACATGCATGTGACAGAATAATATGAGGAAACAGACTATACTACCAGGAACAGCCAACAATCAGGAAAAAAAGCTCAGAGAAGCTGTGCCGCCCCACTCATGCTTTCTCCCGCTCTTTCTCTACATACCTCTCTCTCATGTGGTGTTCAGAGCTGCTGAGGATGAGAGATACAATACAGGCTTTTCAAGGATATGCTGAAAAACATCTAACCACATTTACACACATATACATGATACAGTCAAACTCACGCAAACATACACCAGTGACTTGTTCACACACATACATGCATACATGCAGAGTCATGTAGAAACACAGGACACTCTGACCAAATGGACAGAGGATGACCTTTATGCAAGTCTCTGCATGTCCACCAACTCATTTGCTCTTTTACACCTCAACAATTGAAGCATCAGAAGTAACGAACTATAACAGTACTTACTATTACATTACTATAAATACACCAGAAGTTATTAAAGTTTGTACTGTTTCTTTAGGACTGTATACTCAGATGTATGTGACAAGAACTCAGACATCCTGAGTATTTGCACATCCATTCACAAACAAGTGACAAAGAGATGCTATGCTTTAGGAATTCAGCATGTTTGACTGCCTGCTGTGGTCAGAGCTTTCATCTCTCGTTGCGCTCTCTCCCACAGCTACCACAATGCCTTATCCCTCTCTCTCTTTCTGCCTTTCTACCCACACACAGGGCATACAGAACTGTACACAGTAGAGCCACTTCACAGTCAGCGGGTAGTGGTTGTGCTTACTTATCAAGGTCCTCAGATTCAAAGAGCTGGTAACAAGGCCCTTTTTTGCTGCAGACATTTTGGCATGTCACAACAGAAAATGCACAGGTGTTATTAACACTGTTAATACTGGCTGCATTTCATTTAGATATTGTTCAGGCTCAGCTGCATTGAAGAGAGCTGTCATTAATGTTTTTATCCACGCCTGTGCTTTCCCTGCCGCTACAAGTAAAAATGTCAAGAGCTAATCGCCTAAGGGCCAACACCAACAATGTGTTTGTCCTTCTCTCAGTACTTTTAGCTTTATCACCCAGGCTACAGTGGTGGTTTTCAATGTCACGGGCTGTTTTCAAAGTAGGTATTTTGCCTAATCATAGTCAGAAAAGAAGCACCCCAGTAAGTCGTGACAGTCTAACATTGAGCCTGCACGCACAAAACCAGGACACTGAAACTGAAATGAAATTTGGCCAATATTCATTTTATTATTAGCACCCTTTTCTTACTGAAGGCAGCCTGTAGTACAAATTACATCAGACAGTATATTGGCCATGAGAAAAGTATAGAACATGGACATGATACTGGATGACATTCAAGTCAAGCCACGCATGCCTGCTTAGCCTCAGCATTACTGAATTACTGTACATGTAAAATAACTTCTTGTACTGCAGACAATCATTGTTCACAAGACATTGCTGATTACTGTATAATCAGGGTATATACACACTCACTTCCTTAGCTGTTACTACACCAGTGCTCTGTGTTTTCTATTAGTGCCTAGCTCTGTCTTTCTTCCTCGCCGTCTCAAACTCTGAAGCTTTCTGACTGTGATATATACACACCGTATATTTAACCCTACACAGATTCATACAAAAATATGGCTTACAAAAGCTAATCTTTGACTCTTATGCAGCTACAATGACACTATGTTACACTTTCTTCCCTTTCAGTCACACACGCACACAGGAAACACCTGTCTTATGTGAGTTCAGTACCACAGAAACTCGGTGACACATCAACGCATCACATCACCATGCGCTGTACTCTGCAGAATAACAGAACGATGTCAGTAACATGTCACGGACGTTGTTTAATGCAATAATTTTGTGAGACAAAATATTGCTTCTTTTTAAGGGAATTAATTGAAGCACCATTGCAAATGAAATTGAGTTAAAAGAAAATTTTAAAAAAAGATTTTTGAAACTTTTGTTTGTCACATAATAATTATAAATATCGTCATCGCAGCCAAATTCTACTCTAATTTTTCGGGCCTCTATTCATTTTCCATATACTTCAGTATATAAAAATGTATATTGTATATCTGTATGGACAGAGATTCTTATCTCACATTTACAAAACCTACAAACTTCAGCGACTCTATTACTGTTCTCACTGTGGGGAACATTGTCCGTACTTGTGGAGGGAAGGGAGAGTCTTACTCATAGTTTAAAGAGAAAACCTTCTGGTTTACTTGCCAGTTTCTCCAACTTCTGCAAGGATTAAAAAAAAAAAAATTTCAAAATCAGAATCATCTTTAATGGCCAAGTATGTTTGAACATACAGAAATCTGACTTCAGTAGAGAGGCTCTCAGTGTGTCGTAAGGCAGCTTTTGGAATAGAAAATAACAATGATAATAATAATACAAATAGGGCAATAAAATAAGAAGGAACAGTGTATGCATTCAAGTAGTAAATGTGTGCAATCAAAGATGGTTGTTGCCTGCTGACAACATAAAAACTGTGCTGTATGTAGTATGTTAAACTAGCCCAAAACCTTAAAGATGTCATGACTGCCAGACAATATTACAGAGGTCAGTTATTCTTCACTTCTGGCAGCTGATCTTTTTGACAAAGAGGGGATGAAATCTACTCTTATCATTGATCTACTATCAGGTGTAAAGATTTATTGTTTTTATGTTAAATATTCCTACTTAGAAGGTGACAGCTGACCCTGGTTCAATGGGGAGTTCATTGCCAAGTAACGTGTATGACATCCATCTCGTCCTCACTGACGTGTGTATTCATGTTGTGACTTTATGTGTGTGACTGGCACATGTCATAGTCTAAGTTTCAGTTTGAATGTGTGTGTGTGTGTATATGTGTTTCTGTGTGTTGTACACCTGGTTGTGGTCATGTACAGAAGCGGATAGGGCTACAGGCATCACATTTCCCTAGTGCCTGTGTGCTATGTGATACTGTAGCGTACCTGTAGCCTGTCTCTGTGAAAGAGAGAGAATGATAGCGCCGGGTCCTTTTCCAGAGCAGTGATCACACGCAGACAGACAATGACAGAGGCAAACAGCGACTAACAACTAGTGAAGCATTCAGAGCTTCTGACAGGATGTATGGTTTCGAGAATTTTCTGTGGTCTCAGCGTGCTCAGCCTCAACAGGGGAGTACAGAGATCAGAAGAGAGTGACACTGAATTTGGACCCAGTCTCAGTGCATGCTTTGCTGAATAATTGATCCCTTGGCTTGTGACTGGTTGAAAATGAGGAAGACAGTGCTGATAGTTTGGATTAGCTTTCTGATGCAAGGTCAGTTCTGCATGATGGATCATTTGGATGTTTAAATCTGACTAATTCACATACATGTTTGTTTTGTCTCTGTAAAACCAACTCTGCCTTGTTTTTCTGCTACTTTGCTTGTTTCTGTCTAGTGTAACCTTTCCTTCCTCGGTGTGTTGTACCCACCTTCTGTTTTGCTCTTGTCCCTTCAGTGTCACATGGTGCCCAGGGTCTTTATGCCCGCAAACTTTTGAATGACCTGATGAAGGACTACTCCAACGCTCTGAGACCTGTAGAGGACACAGACGAAGCCCTCAATGTCTCCTTGCAGATCACACTGTCACAGATTAAAGATATGGTGAACAGAGAGGAAACTCAAATACATATCATTGCCTAACATAAATTTAGAGATACAAACCCTGCACCCTCCAGCCACAGATACGACACTTGACCCACAGAAAAAAATCTGCTCAATACAAGTTTCTACAAAAACTAGACATTATTAACCTTCATGTCATTTGATTATTTTAAAGGCTTTTGTATTGAACTGCCTTAATTTTAGCTCGGTGTACCTAATAAACTGGCAACTAAGTGTATACTTCCTTAAAGCTATAGGATGCCTACACCGATATTCCAAATCCACCATAGACCCCATATTCTCTGTGGTTACACACCATGACATTACATTACTTGGGAAAACAGAAAAAAAATATTACATTAGTGTTCAAATGTCTCAAGAAATAAGCCCAATGTATTTGGCCCTTTTGGAAACTTTGGGCTGAAAAACATTCTGTGGATTTTCTCACTTCTTGGCCACACACAATGAACTGTAAAGCTGGATTTTAAGAGGACAAACCTCAATTTGCCAAATAATTCTAATGTTGTCACATGCCCATATTCTTGAAGTTGTGCAAAAATGGCTAGTGTGCATAAAGGAATAATCATCAGAATAAGAGAGAAAGTAAGAATAAAAATAAGTGAGATGAATGAGCACCTCAATGTGATTTTTGTATGACGGTCAGTCAATCAATGTATTATTAAATATCATAAAAATCATTATCATAAGATAAAAATGCTCCAAGCAGTAGAGAAACCAAATAATCATTGAGTTAATCCTATTTCCTTGAGACACTTACAAAATGTCAAGACTGACAGCACCATGTTAATAAGAAATATACATGTAAAGCATAGCCTATCCATTTTATTTGATACACATGTACACTCTAATGCAATGCAATACAACTGTTTAATCTTGTGATGAATATTTTTATTTTTTGACAGTCACACAGTGGATAATTAAATGATCTGTTTTACCACTTAAGGTTGTATTGTATATTCAGAGGCATTTCTAATAATCTGGCTGCCTTGTATAAATAAACAGGAAACATAATTCTTCCAAAACATATTCCCTCATTGGGTTCAACACACGTTTTCATACTCATTAATCTAATCAGTAACCTACAACTATTAGTCAATGAATTGACAGAAAAATAAATTAACTGAAGCACTACTTTGAAGCAAAATTCACATTTTCTGGTTCCATCTTCTTCAATGTGAGGAATTTATGCTGTTCTTTGTCATACATGATAATCAGCTAGATAACTTTGGGTTTGTTGTTTGGAAAAACAAGACGTTTGAAGTTTCTGCAAAGTCAAAATGTTTATTAACCCCAATTTCTGGCCTTCTGTCAATAAAAAAATCAATCAAACGATAAAGAACATAACCATCGGTTTTATCAATGAACCCTGCAATTAATTTCATTATGTGTATGTTTGTTTGTGTGTGTTTAGGATGAGAGGAACCAGGTGCTAACCACATATCTGTGGATTAGGCAAGTCTGGCATGATGCCTATCTGAAATGGGACAAAGTGGACTATGATGACATAGAGATGATCAACATACCTAGTGAACTGGTTTGGAAGCCGGACATTGTCCTCTACAACAAGTCAGTGATAAGAGAAACAAACAAATAGAGATAACAGACAGAGAACTAGACAAAGAGTGCAAAATAAAATAGTTTAAAAAATGTGCATGTGATTTTGTGCCTGTGATGCTCTTGATGTCTGTGTAGAGCAGATGAGGAGTCATCAGGTCCTTCCACCACTAATGTGAAGCTGCGTTATAATGGAGAGATTGTCTGGGACTCCCCAGCCATCACAAAGAGCACATGTGTGGTAGACGTCTCTTACTTTCCTTTCGACTGGCAAAAATGCAACCTTACCTTTGGCTCCTGGACTTACAATGGCAACCAGGTGTGTGTCAATAGGGTGAATAAGAGGGGATCAAATTTCTTACCTCACCTTTTATAAGACAGAGCAAGATTTGGATTTGTTTGTTTGCATCCTGTCCTCACCTTGGTGGAACAGAAACTCCACATTGTTTATAGGTATTTGTCTGTATGAAGACTGTCTGGGACTTGAGATCATCTGACTTTGATTATTTCAGATAAAACAACAATAGATATGGGGGATTTCACATAAGTATTAGTTCATCATTCTGATTATTAGTGTGTAAGCATATTTGCATCTCTGATCATACCTACAAAAGTATTATGTGTGTCCTCTACACAGGTGGACATCACTTTGGGTATGAACAGTGGTGACCTGTCTGACTTTGTGGAGAATGTGGAATGGGAGTGCCACGGCATGCCTGCATTTAGAATCGTCAAGATGTATGGCTGCTGCTCTGACCCTTACACTGAAGTCACCTACACTTTGCACCTGAAGCGCCGCTCCTCTTTTTACATCTTCAACCTATTCCTGCCATGCTTCCTCATCTCGTTTCTAGCCCCGCTGGGTTTCTACCTGCCAGCCGACTCCGGGGAGAAGGTTTCCCTCGGGGTCACGGTGCTGTTGGCACTCACTGTTTTCCAGCTGTTGGTGGCTGAGAGCATGCCTCCTGCAGAAAACATGCCCTACATAGGTTTGAATCATTGATGACATTCAGTTTTGCCACATTATTAAACTATTGAAAGCTTAAAAGGCAATTTTCACCCACAAAGTATAAAATAGATAGAATAAAGTATAATAAAGCATAACATAGAAGTGTCATAAACATTTCAATTCTTATGGGGAGTCAGAATTGTCTCAGTATGTCAGAATTTCAATATCTCAGTGTGACTTTGTATCTCATCTCTTATTATTCTTATTTAGTATATATTACATACAAAGTCAAAATATTGATTCAGGATCTCATACTTTTGACAAACTAAATCAAAATGAAGAGATACTAAATCACACTTACAGTGGAAATAGACTTTGAACACAAAATTAACTAAACTTATAAAAAGCCAGGCTAAAATAGGTGGACATGCCTTTGTATTGTGATATTTGAGTATAGAATTCCAGATTACTGATGATGAAGTTACAAAGTTATATGTAACTGTCCAACCCTATATACTACAAATTACGTTTGCTATGTATGTGTTGCCTATGAAATTTCAATAAGTTGGTCTTTGTGTCTCATGTACTCTAGGAAAGTACTACATCGCCACCATGACTATGGTCACAGCCTCCACCTCTCTCACCATTTTCATCATGAACATTCACTTTTGTGGTGCTGAGGCCAAGCCAGTCCCTCACTGGGCTAAGGTGCTTATTATTGACTACATGTCCAAAATCTTCTTTGTCTATGAGGTGGGGGAAAGCTGCACCACACCGAAGAGTGAGAAGACCCCGCTGTACCCTGAGGAACCCATTCGGACCCAACATTGCAATAAAGGCTGCTACTATGATGACTGTTTTCACAGTGGCGTATGCCATCACAACAGTGACCCTCACAAGTACAGTGATGGTCACAGCGTGCACCATAACAAGCATCACAAAAGCCAGGTGAATCGCAATGCCAGCAGCAGGAAGCCTCACTATAACAACCATACTTCCAGACTAGAGAGGGGTGAAGAAAAACGAGAGCGCACACAGCATTTTCACCACATCAGGCGGGATGAAATAGACTACCAGGCGCCTCCTCATCCACAGAACCTCCAGCACCTGAATGGGGCCTTGAAGGAGCCACTTCATTACCCCTCAGAGAAATATCAAATCCCAGCCTGCCCCTGCTGCTGTCCCTGCCTCCAACATAAGCAGGTGCATTTCGTTTTTCCTTTTACTCACTTTACCTACTTATCGGATTACTGTTCTTCTAAAGTTTTCTTTAAGTGTATCTGTTTCTTCTTCAGGTGGTGAAGAACATCCAGTACATAGCCAACTGCTTCCATGAGCAAAGAGCTACCTGTGTTAAGGCAGCAGAGTGGAAGAAGGTTGCCAAGGTGCTGGATAGGTTTTTTATGTGGATCTTCTTTGTCATGGTTTTCCTGATGAGCATCCTCATCATTGCCAAGGCAACCTGACGGCCTCCAGTATTTTCACCATCATAACAACATTGATCCTTTGTCACTGCTGGACCTGTGTTACTCAAAAGTCCCCTCACTTCTACTCTGATACAGCATCAGATAAATCACAAAACATTTGCATTTGATATGTCAGTATTGTGTTGGGTAAGTTCTTTGTCGCTTTTGCTTTGACATAAAGAGGACAAGGCTATTTGCACATACATTATATTAACCTTTAACCACAGGCATGCAGAGAAATTCATCACAGCCTAGTTAACATCAGGTGTGATTGCATGTGTCATGGGGCAGTGGACAATCTAGACCTAGCTGTGAACATGCATGGACTCTTCATTATTGATAGGCCCAGCTATAGATATTATTTTATTCACATTGCATTTGAAGTTTTTCCACAGCTGGTTACAATGACAGCACCAGCAGAATAACCTCAAATACATAGCAACTGTACGTATAATCAAAAGGGAAGCAAAGGTCAGCAACACAGTCTACTTGTTGTTAAAATGAAGCACGGTAAAGACAGAAGTCAGGTGAAACAGGTATGTTTTTCTAGTCTAGATGTTAAAAGACTGCTTTACATAAGTCATGAATTCTTGAGTTTGAGATTTGGAGAGAAAGGGTAAATTACACTTTGTTCACTGGTCCAGTAGAAAAAAACAAACAAACAGTTTACTAAATATGAAATATGATTTCAATTACTATTGCTGCAGTTTGTTCTGTTGTATAAATCTAATGTGTCACATAATCTTACAAAACTGTCATTCTTTTAAATATAAAATACCATTTCAAAGCGCTTCAACCTTTTTCAGCAAAATTATATGTTTTGTATAGATAGGCTATTGATTTGTTTAGAAAGAGTGACAAATACTGTATCCAAAATCAGTCAGATAAAACATACTCGGTGAGGCTAAACAACAAACATCTCTTCTGTATAATGCAGTACTGTTCAACAGCAACACAAACTACAGCCTCCTAAAAGATGAAACCATTGAATCAACACCTCTCTACAACAGTTTAAATAAAAACCAAACATCTCATGTATGTTGTTAGGTAATTTTAGCCCTGCTAGCAGGGTAGTTCTAGGGATGCTAATGTCAGCCTGTCTGTCGGTCCAGCACACAATAGCTAAACAACCATTACATGTATTGCCGTTTTGCTGTTCTTTTGACTCTGTATTTAACATGGTCAAAGCTGTCACAATACTTTAATCGTTGCCTTTAGCTTTTTTAATAACATGAATTGTAATGCTTAGAGACTGAAAAAAAAAACCTTTGAATTTTATTATTATATAAAGTTGTTAATACTTTGATGATGCCTGTGGGTACTATCAGAAGCTCTGCGTGCTGGTACCTTCATGTTTTAAAAAGAAACATGTCTTAATCTATGATGGCTATATGGAAATACACATTCAAGAAATGATTCATTTCATGATGCATGTTTGTTTCTAACAAAGAAATACAGATTTTTGAAGGAGTCTGGGGTTTTTGTATACAGGTTGTTAACGTTACACATGGCCAAAGAAGTGGAATCACAGCTTGATCAGCTTCTATCAGCAAAAGAAATGAGGAGCTTATAAGGTGAAACTACATGTGCTGTCCTTGGTACTGAGGAGAAGAATCCTGAATAACTCAGGAATCTGAAACAGACCTTAGCATTTCACCCTGTCTGTCTTCCACCAACAAATAGTCTGCACAAAACATGCTTCAGCTTCACATTTGTAGTTTTCACTACACATTTTTTTCAGTAAATTGTTTATGAATTAAGATTTTACACACAAAATGTGCTGAAGAAATATCTGATGCTTCTTTAACAGTATTTTGATCATTTATATTTTTATACCTCTGCTCAGGTGAGGCTGTGGCTGAAAAAAAAAATTCTACATGGTGTCAACCTGTACACTTGACAACCTTGTTACTTCCACCATTTAATAATGGAAAAATGGCCCAGCCTTGTGTAACTTTGTGGTAAAGTTCCAAAATTCAAACTAAGTCTTCAAATAGAGTCAGGAAATACTGTGACAACTTAAAAAATAAAAAAACAAACAAACCTCAAGTCCATTAAGGTTCCATCTCTCCAGTCCTTGCTTATGAACGTTCCTGGGGGTTCACAAAAGGTGAGACGGTGCCACAGCATGAGGGTGGTCAGAGGGTTGGAGACTAACCGAGGCTGGATCTAAAGCTTGCTGCGTACAGGGTCAGGGGGGCACAGTACATAATCAGTTTCAGATGCTGCCAGCATCTCATCCAAGGCAATGCTGTCATCGACTCTGTTTCCCCCAGCTGAGGCAGTCCCTTCAGGGTCTTATCAAGTCAGGTCTGTAGTCAGCGTCCTTGGTACTGATGGGTCAGCTGACATGGCCCTTCCACTATCTTATTGCCAATTTAAAGTATTTTGGAACTTCTATATTTTTAATCAGTTTGTCATCTTGAAGTATCATTTTCTACTATTAGAGCGTTAGCCAGGCTTTTGGAGTCCAGGCCCGTCACCTCTGGAGCTCCTTTCCTAAAGATCTGTCAGGGACCAAACAGTAAGGCAGAGGACATAGCTTTTAAAGTTCAAAAACAATGGGCTTTTTATTAACCCAAAAGTAAAAATACAAACAACATCAATATCAAATAAACTGGACCCTATAAGAAGTCAACAGAAGAAAAAGAAACTCAAAATACTGCAAACTGAACTATCCAATACCACAACAAAAACCAAATGACCTCACAAGTGACACATACAGGGGAACATATATATTGGCTGGGAAAAAACAATAACACACACAAGGGATAGACCAAAGACACTATCAAAATAATCAGCTAATAAACACTAAAACAGACAGTCTGCAAGCAACTAAATGTTTTTCTTGAAATGTGAAAAAATTAACATAACTTGACAAATAAAGTATTAATATAAAGTATAAACATATAAATAATACATTTCTCCCAAACTCCCCCTGTTCTTGTATTGGGCTCTTGGTGCAGTCCAGGCCCAGTGGGAGGTATTTAAACCTGCTGTTTCCTTAGTCCAAACTTTTGTCAGAACCACCCCCCATCCATGGACCAGAAAACATGGTAACTCAAGAGAACATGTACACGTACTAATAATACAAAATTAATCAAATGTGCATGATCAGTTCATCATTGATCAGTTATGTATGTCCAATATTAAACAATACCTAACCTTGACCTACAACATGAACAAAGAAAACAAAAGATTACCCAACCAAATATACTGCTGCTGGTGGTTTCGGCCCTCACATGGTGAAGGCCAGGGCTGAGGCCTTCACAAGATCCAAGACTCCCAGAATCAGTGACTTCTATCAAATCACTTCAGTGTTTCTATACTATTAGCTTATGGTTTTGATTTAGAATCTTTTTTTCTGTTTTTGCTAATATTTTTAAATTGTCTTGATGTAATAACAGGGCTATTTATTTAAATTTCATTTTAAGGCTTTTAGTAATATTAGTTCCTATCTATGTAAAAATTAATTAATGAGCTACTGTGCAATTGTCTGAGTTTGAAACTATCCAAAATGATCAGGACCAGAACAGTTTATTTGAAATACTTTGATCCTGTCCTGCTAAGCTACACATGATAAAATGTGTGTTAAAATGGAGGTGCTGTGAGAAGAGAACAGCTACAACTGCCCTAAGGTTGGTACTATGGCTTAATTCCGGCCTTCCCAACTCTTCTGCATTACATCTCCTGTAGTAGGAGCTCATTTAACTTCTACTCATCTAAACCTGTCACAAACAGGCCAGGCACCTCAAAAACACCAACAGAGTGATCTGAATACAATCAGACCTCCAGTCTCAAACCAAAGACAAACACAAACCAGGCGCCTCCAAAACACAAACAGCAATCTGAATACACTCAGTCCTCCAGTCTCAAACCAGGTGCCTCCAAAACACACCAAACAGAACTATTTGAATACACTCAGACCTCCTGTCTCAACCAGACATCATGAGAGGGCACCAAATACAAACCAGGCCCAACAAAGACTGACTAGATAGAGCTACCTGAACAAGCTTAGACCTCATATCTCAACCAGGCCAGGCACTTCCAATGCCCTAAAACAAAGATTGGAAATGGAAGATGAAGACAGAGGCAGGCAGGGGCTGCTGTGACAAGGAAAAATAATAAAAATGACAC